CACATTCCATGTCCCAACGGGTAAATCCTGTTTCCTTGTGTCCCGTTGTTTTTCTATTGAATTTATATGTCCGAGGCTTGTTGTTTTAATTAAAGGCACTGTGGGGCTATTGCGATACACTGTGAGAAGTATCGGGCGATGGGCGCACCACATTCCCTATGCCATAATTCCTTATATATAAAATGTTTAATTGTGCGTAGTCACCGTAATTTTATCTAATTATTGAATATGAAGTATAAAATCTTTAGAAATATCTTAAATATTATTTATAAATACATTGTAAACATTTATTTTGAAAATTAAATCAATAATAATGATTCAACAAAAAAAAAATTTACGCCGTGCGTTAAAATGACCGGGCCGATACGACGTGACACCGAAACGCCGACCTTCGACGTCCGTGACTTACGAAAATGCTCGGATACGGAAAGACGCCATCAAGATTAAAAAATTCCGTGAACCGTGTTTACCAGGAAAACAAACTAAACTACCGGTTTGGGATTAGAAAAATGTCTAATGTAGAATCGCTGGCAGCGTTCCTCGAGGACTTTTTTTTTTTTACTTGCAGTGTATTTTGAAGTGAGTTGTGCAAAGGCTGTACGTTATATTTTACACGTTTATTTTCTACTCTTATAAAAACAAAAACAATTCTTAATATTTAAAAGTGCTGAAGTGAAACTTTTAATGTATAAAAAATATTAAAAAATAAAAGATCAATTTTAAATTCAAATATTTATAAGGATAGACTTGTTTTTGGTAAATTCTATCACCTATACCCATAGTTGTGTAAAGATGAAACTTCATTTAGATCTTATACGAGATTTGAATTACCATTGAAACGATCGAAAAAACACACCGTCTTGTAAAAAGTTAAAAGCTGTCTCGCTACATTTAAACTTCGATAATCGTGTTAGAAAAGGGCAATGACAGAACCGACGAAATCGGACACGGAACCGACGCCCTCTTCGTCAGCCAAGTGCGGCGACCGCGTAATTCGCTTCGGGGATGTCTGAGCGTACGCGTGGGTTCGAGAAAACTGCCTTGGTAAGGAGGAAAATGAGTATATTACACGAACCGTAAAACCGAGTGTTTCGTCGACGGATCAAAGCGCATCGCATAATTTTTAACAACACATGCACGTTTTTGTTCCGTATCCAATCCCCGATCTTATGGATATTTCTATAGATTTCCGGAAAGGCGGACGCACGACCTAAACTGTATCGGGGTGTGTGCGTGTGTGTGTGTGTGTGTGTGTTTGAATACTTTGCTCGCAAACGCTGAGGAACGATCGAAAAAAATGCGATTATATCCGGAGAAAGCATCAGATCGTTTCAATTCGGCGCAACGGTTATCGGCCGAACTACCTGGATTTCGCCGTCGACCTCGGCCCAAGTATCGTTTCGCATGAACGCATACTCCCGTTGGTTTTCAACTTGTTTTTAGTAACGCGCAATTATGCGTTTCGTTTCAATAACGCGATCGTATCAGTATCATCATCCGCGTTCCCGATACAAGCGGCTTCTACCGGGCTATTTATTATCGACTTTCGGTAAACCGAGACGCTAATAAAACTAACAAACGCGACGAAAATACGTTTGCCGTGCGCTTGTGCCCCGCCACGTACGCCACGAGCCCGCGGAAACGGCGTCCACTTTACCACCCGCATCGCCCTGTAAATGTTTTTCAATTCTGTTTTCGGGACCCTAAACTAGACAGACGAATCTGAAAATTCCTACGAATGGCTGTATTTTTTATTTTTTTTACGACTTGTATTTCGGGCGCGAATGCGTGCGACAATACTTCGCCTGTTTTTTAAACGACCGCTTCTATTTTGAATATCGTTTTCAGATATATCGGTTTTCCTCAAGCGATTTCCATGGATCAACTTGGATCAACTTGGATCAACTATTCTATACCCGAAATCGGCTACAACTAAATGTAATTTCAAAAAAAAAAAAAAAAACGANTCAACAAATACTTTGACTGATTTCTAAAAATTTTGATTGTTTCATGTGTTTGGATGGAAAAATTGCTGCAATATAGAGCGATAGGAAACTACACTTTATGTAGGACCCATTTCGACGGTGTTTCGTAAAAAGGGGCGTAGATAAATATTCATTTGTAAGTATCGGCTCAAAGATATCCAGGCCATGGGCGCCGAGGTATCGAGGTGCTGCGGTGCTCGCACACCCTATGAAATAAATAGAAAATATGAATATTTAATGCTTTGATATCACGCGTCACTTTAAAATAATCATTTTTAATTAATATATGTTTTGGGTTTTTTTTTGTTAATTCGCTGGCGTTGTCGACGTCTACGGACGACGAGTGCGACGACGGAGTTCAATATTTTCGTACGTTTTAATAAATCTCGCTAAAGTAGAAGACTTATAGCAGAACCTAAAACAATTAGTTGTATCTATTATACCTGAATACTTATAACGGCTCCGATTTCGGTTGGGCTAAATTAGAATTGTACCGCTGCAATATTACGTCGGATATTGCTAAACCGAATAAGTTTGATTTATCGCCAGCGTCTAACGCAATTGATTTTTTGAAACGAGAGTTGTGTATTTACAGTGTTTGTTACCGGAAGTGATGAAATCAATTAAAATCATGTTAACCACACCGGTTTCATCGTGTACAGCAGAGCGTTCTTTTTCTGCTCCTCGACGTTCAAAAACGTTCGTTAGGCCAACAACGACGTAAATACGTTTTGACGATGCAGCGGTATTACATGCGCTAAAAAAGAAAAAATAAACATTGACGATATCGTTAACAATATTATTAAAAGACCCAAGTGAGACAAAACACTTTCGGGATTTTTTATTAAAAATGAAGAAATATCTATACCTACTCGTATACTGTGCAACATTTTATTTTCTAATATTTTTGACTATTATTAAATTCTTTATAGGCAAAAAAAACGCCATTTCTCATTTATTTTAAAATATATTTTGTTTTAGTACTATTTATATTTAAAAATAAAAAAATAAATGTTTGTTTTTATTTTGCTTTTTTCATTTTTTTAAAAATACTAGCGGAGGTATTTATAGTTTCGCCGCCCTTGGGCATTGTTAAGAAATCTTACACTTCTGGGCATTAATTTGGTGATGGGTAAAACAAAATAAAACCGCCTATTGTATACAAGCCTCTCAAAAATACAAGTTTACCGCCTCGGGTCGATGGCGCCACATCGCCACCCCCACCCTACCATAATACAAAAAAAAAGTCAATAAATTTATAATGCTTTGTTGATTTGTTGATTTTTTTTTTTTTTGTTCATAACAAGTTAAATAATTTAAGGATTTTGGGAACCCCACTAAAACTGGAAACCCTAACGGCAATTATCCGGACGCCATTTTAAAATATAACTAAATCAACATTGAATTGTTAAAAAGGCGCATAACTGCACATTCTACGCGGGTACACTTTGTGAACAAGGTATTATTATATATATGACTGCGAGTAGTTTTATTGTTTTCGGTGATAGGCATCATTAGATACTGTTTTGCTGTTTCTTTACTTCCGGAACAAAAGGTAAAATTTGATAGACGCTCTTTTAACAAAACGCCGTCGATACAACCAGGACGAAATATCCGTATTTCCGTATGAACGTCGAAGAACGAATGGTACGTACGGTGATGATTGTGTAACATATTGACCGAAACAGTTTTATATTGGGCCAGGCTTTTCCCATAGAATGACTTGTTATTACACTGAACACAAACAACGAATAAAATACAGCGATTACATAAAAAAAAAAAATTGATCTTTTCATTTTGTTAACTGCCAGTGATCGAAAAAACCTAACCTAACTTAACCGCCCCCCCCCCGTTATTTGATTGATAAATATATACCCGTATAATGTCGAGTGCAAAGAGTTTATGACATAGTTAACCAGTTTTCACGGAATTTATGAGTCTTCTCGGTCTCGTCACTAAATATTAAGAATATTTAGTGAATTGAGGGGGAAGATCATCCAAGATGTTTACACCTAACGGCAAAAGAAATATAAGAGATAAAAGTAATTGAATATCGAAATGCATACATTTTAGCCAAGATAGCTGAAAATAATTGACATATTGATTAGAGATTGTTTAATTTTTTTTTTTTTAGGATCTGGCCTTTAAATTACCAATTAAAAACGGCGGTGCGACGTGGCCAATACAAAAACAATCTGCTAATTTTATTTTCGTTACTAACCAACAACAACCGTGTTGTTATAGTTTTAATGTATCAGAACCTACCAAAACATTCATTCTCCCGTTAATAACAAAGGCAGTTGCAAAAAGAAAAATATTTTTAAATATTAATTACAATATTTCCTATACTTTTCGCACCTGCTTATCATTAGTGATTTCATTCAAAATGGAAAACGGCAGTGAAGTTGCAGACCCGACATGCGAGAGCAATGACAATTCCAGAACCGTTACAACAGCTAATCAAGACCCGTTGTCGTACACCGAGTACGCGGATCGTATCGGTTCCGTATTCTCGCAACTGTATTATTCCGTAATGCGATCGTCGCCCGAATACGCACACGATTTTTACGACGTGAAGGGCGAGTACAGGACGATCTACGCGGACGGATCGACCGTCGTCGCCAGGACCCGCAACCAAGTAAAAAGTGTTTTAATGCGGCCAACGTCCGAGTCCGATTATGTGATAAAATCGGTTTCATCGATGCCCTGCGGCGGACAGTCCGACGGCCTGTTAGTCGACGTGNTTTTTTTTTGGTTTTTTTGATTCTGCGTTTGTGTATCTCACTTTTAAAACGTTTTTGGCATACTTCAATCGTTACTCTTATTACCACCCTTACCTTCAGTCTTGCTTTAATGTTTACCTTAACCAAATAGTGGTCAGAGTCACAGTCCGCTCCTCGCATCGTTTTAACATCCGTAATACTGTTTTTGAACCTGTCATTAACTAGTACATGGTCAATTTGATTCGTATGATTCCCATCTGGTGACTTCAAGGTTCCCTTATGGATCTTTTTATTGGAAAACATTGTGCTCTTGATCACTAAGCCTTTGCTCGTTGCAAAGTCGATTAGGTTGAGTCCATTATTGTTAGTTACTTCATGCAAGCTACGGTGGCTAATAGTTGGTTTAAATATTAATTCTTTTCCTACTTTTGCATTTAGGTCTCCTAATATGACCACTATTCTGTTATTAGGTATTCCATCTACTACGTTCGTTAATTCATCATAGAAGTCGTCCTTTTCTTCTTGGGTCTTTTCCTCAGTAGGTGCATGAACACTAATTATTGTGAGATTACACCAGTATGTTTTAATTGTTAATAGCGATATTCTTGGGTTAAATGTCTTAAATTCCATTACGTTGGGTACTATTGACTTATGAACTACGAAACCCGTACTAAATTGTCGTCGATCGTCACAATCCCAATAGAAAATGGTATAATTATTAATGTCTAAGGATCCTCCTCCTTGCCATCTAATTTCTTGGATTGCTACGATTTTAAGTTTATACCTCCCTATTTCTTGCGTCACTGTATGTGCCGCTCCAGTGCTGTATAATGTGCCAACGTTCCATGTACCCAAAGATATTTCCGATTTCCAGTTTCCATTTTTGTTTTCCTTAGCTCCACTAATCCGAGGCCTTTTGTTTGGTTCCTGAACATAAGTTTTTTTACGACAGGGTGTAATCCTTCTTACCATTACTAATCATTGTTAATTTTTAATATAAATAAACGTAAAAGATACAAATAAAATTAATTATTATTAAATAAATATAAAATAACTATACTTAATAAATGAAACATGTATTCCTTATATATAAAATGTTTAATTGTACGTAGTCGTTGTAATTTTCAAAATAAATGTATGTATAAAATTTGAAAAAAATATATATTTTCATAGAATATGAAATATACAATCTTTTGAAATATCTAAATATTATTACGTATTGTATACATTTATTTTGAAAATTAAATCAATAATCATAATTCAACGAAAAAAAAAATTCACGTCAAAATCTGCCGTGCGCCCAACTGCCGTGCGTTAAAATTACCGCACCGATACGACGGGAGACCGAAACGCCGACCTTCGACGTCCGTAACATACGCTCAAGCTTGGATATGGAAAAACGTCATCAAGTATAAAGAATTTCGAGAACCATGGTTACCGGAAAAACTAAATGGACTACCGGTTTGGGATAAGAAAATTGTCCAATGTAGAAGCGCTGGCGACGTTTCTCGCGGCCACCGATTGATCCGTCGCCCCAATCCGCAGGAGCGATCCGAGCGGACAGGCGTTCGATCCCCCCGGCTCGATGCCCCCCGCTCGGGCGGTGACGTATCGGCAACGAGATCCGCTCTGGTCGGTAACCAGTGCACGCCCGAACTATCACAAAATCGCCAACGTGTAAACCTACACTCCCGGGTTCCGCGCCTAATCGTCCGCACAGTGCGTGTAGTGCCGTCCCGTTCACCGAACCCCTTTTGTTGTTCTCGTTTTTAATCATATTAATATTAACACGTGTATTACGTTTTCAATTTGTTTATAATGTCGCATAACAAGGATTATTTGTAACGAGCACCACGCGTGACGTTACTCATTGACTAATCTATTATGCCGAATCGCTGGATACTCAACATATGTGCATCGCGTAACTCCTTTGATCTACACGAGGAACGCGTGCGATCCGGGCAGAACGATTTCAAAGGACTTTCCGCGATTTGTATAATATTTTCATAATTAAAACGATTTATGTTTGTTTTTATCATTAATTAATAAATGACAATAAACTGTTTTCGTGGTATTTTGGACGTAGTTTTTGAGAAGGAAAACGGAAAAGAGAAAAAAGTGCACTGGAANAAAAAAAAAAAACAAGACGTTAGAAAAAGCAAAACACAAAATGCATTTACAGCTAAAAATGCAATATAAAATTACCAAATTCTGGTGCGCGAATTCGGTTTTTAGCCGAGATGACGTTTTCGTGGATCAAGGGGGGAAGAAAATGCAAACACCATCCGTCGTCGCCGGGACAGAAATATCTCTACTGATTAGATACACGCAGTCCATCCGGCCGAAAATCTCCCGCGGCGCTTCTATTGCCGTTACCATCGGAAACGTTAATTCGTCGTAACCAAACAAAAAAAAAAAAATGCCGACGTAATTTCCTCTCGGCGGAAGGGAAGACGCTCCCCCCGGGACCCGCCAGCTCGGACCGATTCCGTCTGTTCGATTGGCGATCACCAGCTCGCTCGAGTGCGACCGAACGGCGGCCGCGTACCGATTGTGTCGCGCGCACGAACGGCGGCGGACGGCCGTGCTCCGCTGGGTCGTGATGTACGCGGACTTTCGCGACGGCGCATGGGCACGTTTTCCGCACCGTCGCGGCGTCCGATGTGTGGCCGCTTTGTAGGTCGCAAAGTGAACGTCGGATACGCGCCGCAGAACGTTCTTAGACATTTCGAATACACCGTTGCCGCGCGGTGTTCCCTGAAAGTCACGCGTCGCACGCTCGCCGACACGACAGTGTCTCGGCAGCTCGTGCGTGTGCGGCGGCCCGCGTTTGCTCGCTGACAAAAAAGGCGTGCCAAAAACGAAGGCCGGGGATCCAGGGCGACCGCCAGTCGAACAAGCGATCCGCGTCGTAAGCGCCATGAAGGCGTTTTCGACAACGCGTGGTGACCAAAAGTTCGTCGTTTGGGGACGCGGCCGGTCCCTGGCACTTCGAGTGGGCCGTCCCGTCCGAATATAATGGCGAGGGCCACATCTCGGAGCCGGTCTCGCCTAACCCGTCTGATAGAACAGCACGCGTACCGCGGAGAAGTTAGTTGGGGCGGCCACATCCCATGCCACGCGCGTCGATCTGGGCGTCGCGGAAGTGGTCCGGGGCAAGGCATTTGCAGATCTAAACGGCGGTGCGACTAGGCCAGAAAAAAAACAAACTGCTGATTTTATTTTCGTTACTAACCAACATAAACCGTGTTGAAATAGTTTTTAAGTATCCGCGCCTATAGAAATATACATTCTCCAGTTAATAACAAAAGTAGTTGCAAAAGAAAAATATTTTTTAATATTATTAATAATATTTTCTATCATTTTCGAACGCGATTTTAACTAAAGAATTAATTAAAAATGGAAAACGGCAGTGAAGTTGTAGACCCGAAATGCGAGATCAGTTACGATTCCAGAGCCGTTACGACGGTTAATCAAGACCCATCGTCGTGCACCACTAAGGCGGCTCGGATTGGTTACGTATTCTCGCATCTGTATTTTTCTGTATTGCGATCGTCGCCAGAGTACGCCGACGATTTTTACGACGTAGACGGCGAGTTCCGGACAATCTACGCGGACGGATCGACCGTCGTCGCCAAGACCCGCAACCATGTAAAAAGTGTATTAATGCGGCCAACGTCCGAGTCCGAGTATGTAATAAAATCAGTTTTTGCGATGCCCTGCCGCGGACCGTCCGATGGCCTGTTGGTCAACATATCCGGTGACCAGTTCACCCAAACATTTATCGTGGAACATCGACCAGAAAGAACTTTGGGTTACGCTATTGTGGGGTCCTTGATTCGTTACGTTTCTGCGGTACCACTTGCCGACCATCAAACACCGGTAACAAGATTCGATGCCAGTAACTGCCCGGCTATTACCGGCAGTACATCGTCCGTGAGTCTAGAAACACTTGACAACTGTTCGCCAAACACAGCCGCCAGCGACAATCCAATTCCCGGAAATGTTTCCAATGATATCGCGATAAATGATACCGTCTCCGAAAAAACTGCCGACATCAAGTCCGTCCAAGAACCCGTGATTTCGTTAACCCATAACAACGATATAGAACCCGCCTCCACAAATACCGCTAACGAGAATAAAGAACACAAACCTTTCACTGATAAAGAAAATATCAAAAAACATATATGCAATTTAGTTCTGTTTTCTGCTGCCTGTTGGGTTGTGTATCGATATATCTTATAAATTCGTTGCACCCGGACCGAAAATTTAAAATTGTTCGACAGTGAATATCATCGATAACACAAACAAGTAGTCCAGTATGTTTTCATGCTTAACACAATTCACAAATTTTTTTAAGCATAATAATGTTTTTCCTTATCCAGGTGCAAGAAGATATCACGTCCGCCAAAGTTCGGTATTTCGGTGTTGCGGCATTTCGATGCGCGTCAGATGGACGCGGTCATTTTAAAGTATTTTTTTTTATTTTTAATTATTATTAATTCATTATTCCGATTGCGTAATCCCTATTTACTTTTCTCTGCCCTGTTATTTTTTAAAGTAAATATACGTAAAACATGGCGGTCCTTATATATAAAAGTAAGAAATAAATAATTATATTTTTAATGCACGATCCCCTCACTATTTTCATTGTTATAAGAAAATCATTTTGGTTAATTTTGGTCATAACTATTCACTCCCTTCCTGTGTTCCTGGGGGGTTGAAAAATAACCAACAAGGGTTTTTTTTGTCATTTTTTCGATCTTTCAAATAAATATGATACTTAGCGAAAAAATGTTTAGAACGTAAATAATAGAAGGTAAAATTTTCTATAGAAAGTTTAAGTATATATAAAAATTTTGTGAAATAAAATTTCTTATTAAAAAGGTTTGACATGTTCAAATGTTTAATGAATCCTTCGTTGCATCGTTTGAGTCAGATTCATTAAATATTACACATCAAACAAATTATTATAAACTATTTATATACATTTGAATAAGTTTATTTATAAAATTAAAATTGTTTATTCAAACATATTTTAATATTTTTGAAGAAAATTGTTATTTTGTTGTATTACGAGATAAGATTAGATACACATTATAAGTGTATAATAGAATTATCTTATATTTTCATGACTATTAAAACTGGGCATGATAAAATAAGTTAATTTTATACTTATTTCTCAGTAANTATTCGATAATCGATAAAAGTATTAATTTCGATAAAACTGCGGTAAACACTGGTCGACTAATTGGTACATGCATATTATTGGAACATTTTATGGAAAAAAATTTACTATTTTACCATGCCGTCATCACATTTTTGAAATTTTTCTTCGTAGTGTTTTTGACGAAAAAAAGGGGAAGTCGGTAGGTTCCGATGTACCCATTTTCAAAATATTCCAAAAAGAGTGGAATATTATCGACAAATCGAAATTTAAATCAGGTATTGAAAATAAAAAAGTAAATGTAATCCTCAAACCTTATATTACCCATATCGTTTCTTTTGCCCAATCAAAACTGACTGAAAATCAACCACGTGTTGACAATAGAGAGTTACTAGAACTTACATTGTTTTCCTTGGTCACGGTGCTACCCAATCTTTTCGTTTATCAGGAGCTATTTACCACGTAAAGAGGATGGCTAAGGAAATATATTTTCCAAAATTATATTTATTTCGCTAGTTTTAATTAACCAAAAGAGAAGAGTAAGGGCTATGTGATATTTCAATATTCTTGATCGTTGCATAAATTGAAGCATGGTTTAATGCAACGTTAGCTTCGACCGCATCCTATATTGATCTAAATTTTATTAAAAAACTTTATAACTATAAAAAAATTGATAAATAAAATCAATTAATACTGCAAGTGGTCAGTGACTATCGTAACCTTTATCTAGACTGCAAAATATAATAATTTTAAAAAACCATTCTAATTGTTTAAATAAGATTGTTCAAATGTTTGTAAGTAGTTAATAATAATTTATTTGATGTATTTTAAAATATATAAGTATAAATTGTATTAAAATATGTTTTATTTTTATATTTATTAGGATATAACCATATTTTTATTATGTATTTAATGGCAAACTACCGTTTTTTAAACAAAATTTTTACAATATTTAATAAATCTGACCCAAACAATGCAACGATGGATCCAATGAACATTTCACATATAACCTTTTTAGTAAAACATTTGATTTCAAATAATTTTTATTGAAACATATTTTTAATAATTTTATTCCTTCACCAAATAAATGTAAATAACTACAAATTATCAATTTGGTAACAAAAATTTATAATGTGATACTTTATTATTTTTTTCGATAATAATAGATTTACGATAGGAAAATATACTTATACTTTTTATTGAACATTCCTTCTTTCTACAATTTAGATTCCATACATTTTTTCGCTAAGTTTCATATTTATTTGTTAAGTCGAAACATGATAAAACTACCCTTGTTTGCTATTATTTAACCCCCCGAGGTCATAGGGAGAAAGTGAGTAGCCACGACCTAAATAAGCCAAATGTATTTTCTTTTAAAACTGAAAAAAGTGAGGGGAACCTAACCTAAATAAGCCAAATGTATTTTCTTTTAAAACTGAAAAAAGTGAGGGGAACCTACATCAAAAATTTCAGTTCATCAAAAGTTCATAAATAATGACCACCCTATTAAAAGATGCAAATAAAATAAATTTTTATCAAATAAATATAATTAATACATGAAACATGTATTCCTTACATATGAAATGTTTAATTGTGCGTTAAAACCGAAATTTTATTTAATTATTGAATATGAATTATAAAATCCTTTGAAATGTCTTAAATATTATTACATATTGTATACATTTATTTTGAAAATTAAATCAATAATCATAATTCAACGAAAAAAAAAATGCGCGTCAAAATCTGCCGTGCGCCCAACTGCCGTGCGTTAAAATTACCGCACCGATACGACGGGAGACCGAAACGCCGACCTTCGACGTCCGGAACATACGCTCAAGCTTGGATATGGAAAAACGTCATCAAGTATAAAGAATTTCGAGAACCATGGGTACCGGGAAAACAAAATGGACTACCGGTTTGGGATAAGAAAATTGTCAAATGTAGAAGCGCTGACGACGTTCCTCGCGACCTCCGATTGATCCGTCGCCCCAATCCGCAGTAGCGATCCGAGCGGACAGGCGTTCGACCCCCCCGGCTCGATGCCCCCCGCTCGGGCGGTGACGTATCGGCAACGAGATCCGCTCTGGTCGGTNGACCGAAACGCCGACCTTCGATGTCCGTAACATACGCTCAAGCTTGGATATGGAAAAACGTCATCAAGTATAAAGAATTTCGAGAACCATGGTTACCGGAAAAACTAAATGGACTACCGGTTTGGAATAAGAAAATTGTCCAATATAGAAGCGCTGACGACGTTCCTCGCGGCCTCCGATTGATCCGTCGCCCCAATCCGCAGGAGCGATCCGAGCGGACAGGCGTTCGACCCCCCCGGCTCGATGCCCCCCGCTCGGGCGGTGACGTATCGGCAACGAGATCCGCTCTGGTCGGTAACCAGTGCACGCCCGAACTATCACAAAATCGCCAACGTGTAAACCTACACTCCCGGGTTCCGCGCCTAATCGTCCGCACAGTGCGTGTAGTGCCGTCCCGTTCACCGAACCCCTTTTGTTGTTCTCGTTTTTAATCATATTAATATTAACTCGTGTATTACGTTTTCAATTTGTTTATAATGTCGCATGGCAAGGATTATTTGTAACGAGCACCACGCGTGACGTTACTCATTGACTAATCTATTATGCCGAATCGCTGGATACTCAACATATGTGCATCGCGTAACTCCTTTGATCTACACGAGGAACGCGTGCGATCCGGGCAGAACGATTTCAAAGGACTTTCCGCGATTTGTATAATATTTTCATAATTAAAACGATTTATGTTTGTTTTTATCATTAATTAATAAATGACAATAAACTGTTTTCGTGGTATTTTGGACGTAGTTTTTGAGAAGGAAAACGGAAAAAAGAAAAAAGTGCACTGGAACACAGGGCGATAAATTCCGCGCCTTTGAAAATATTAAAATAATNCGTTGTTTTTTTTTTTTACAATAATTACAGTTTCCGTGTTAATTTTATTTTAACAAAGAATAGATAAATTGGTGCGTATTTTTTAACGCGTATTGTGTATAATTTAAACGGCGCGGAATTTCGCGACGGTGAGGCGTCCGATGTATAGCCGCTTCGTAAGTCGCAAAGTGAACGTAGGATACGCACCACATAACGTCGTTAGAAATTTCGAATACGCCGTCGCGTTACCGGAATGTTCGGAACAGATTCACGCCGACGCTTCATGGTGTGTACAACGTTAACGCGGCGAACGCCAATTTGAGGCTAAACAATATTCAGATATTTTTTATTTTTATTTTTAAATGCAATGTTATTTGAAGTGAGTTGTGCAAAGGCTGTGCGTTATATTCTACACTTTTATGTTCTGCTCTTTTAAAAACGGAAACAATTGTTAATATTGGAAAGTGCTGGAGTGAAATATTTAAAGTATGAAAAATATTTAAAAAAAAAAAAAAAGAACAGTTTTAAGTTCAATAATTTATAAGGATAGACTTGTTTTTGGTGAATTCTATCACCTATACCCACAGTAACGTAATGATGAAACCTCATTTAGATTTTATTATAGAATGACCGTTGATACACTTACTATTCATATTTACTGTTCTGGCAACAGTTTCCCATTCTTTCTCAGACAACAATCTGTACATTCTATATTTTGTATTGAATTTATTCCAAAGAACATTCCTCTTTTTTACCTCGGTTATAATAACTCGATATGGAATTGACCGTAAAACAATATCTAATATGTAAATATATAATATTATAGTTAAAATACTATTTATTATGACTTAATAGCTTATATTACCTGTTTACCTATTCGTATCGTATAATAAGCCTAATCGCATAATGAACGAATCGTAAATTGTACTCAAAATATTTCGACGTCTATTCGCTTAAACGCGTCACCAAAAACAAAATGATTTGGTTTTCAAACAGTGCGGCGAACGCGCACGAATAAATTCGTTCACCAACTAATTGATTATAATCAAATAAACAACTAACTAATTCGTTCATTTTCCGCGTTCACCGCGTTCTCGTCGGACCCAGCGTCAGTGTCCCGGCAGCTCTTGCGTGCGGGGCGGCCCGCGTACGCTGGCTGACGCCCAGCGACGGCC